CCCCCAAGTCAGTAACAATTAAGAAACTAGACCCAAGGCCCCTGACTCAAAGTCCCACATTCATTTAATGAACACATTTGCTCTGTTTTTTTATTAGACTATCTCCCAAATTCCCTCATCATTCCTGTCTCCCCTCATGGGCCTTTCCCCCAAAACCATCAATTAGGAGGGCAAACGCTGAGATCAAAGGAATGTTTATTACAGCATTTATGGGCCTACCTCCTCCATAAATAAATCTGTACAGAGTTGGGAAGTAGTACCATGATAGATACAGGAGGGGAAGAGAGCATAGTATTAAGGCTCAGGGATCAGTATGTGTCATCTCATCAATCTCAGCAAAACCCCCTCCCCCAAGTGTACTAACAAGGCTTCTGGGATTTCCATTGGAGTGGAATCAGCAAGACCCCTGCTACAGGATCTCTCAGAATTAGGAAGGCAGGGTTGGGGTTGGGTGGGGGGATTGTTGCAGGTTCAGCCTATGACCCAGGTCCAAAAGTTCCAGCCTTCTCTGCCACCTCCAGGGCTAACTTCAGGTTCTGGTCAAACAGCTCACACCTATACCAGGCCCAGGAGGCACAAATAAGGGCAGTGCAAGGCCTAAGGCTCTCTCCCCACTTTGGGTGCAGAGGGAGAGCCAGCGAAGAGCCTGCTTGAGGGATATACACTCCAAGTCTTTGGTTTCTTAAGTAAAAGGCTACTTGCTCTTGTTTACTTAAAAGTAACTCTAATTATACTTCAAAACAACTTTGGAGAAGAGCACACAGGTTGGGGCAAGGAGGATTTGATCTGAGGACTGGGACCACCCACCTGATGGGCATTTCCAGGGAGTAGAATGGATTCTTGAGGGCAAAGTCTGAGTAAATCTCATAAATCTTTCGGAGTAGAGAATCTATCCCAGCTTGTCTAGGGTCTGCCAGCACCACGAACTTGATCCCTGGAGAGGGGCCAAGAATGGTTACCAAGGGAAGAGAACGCAACAGGTAACGCCAGCCTGTGCTTGCACAACACTTCCATTTTGCAAAGCACGTTCACCAGCCCATTTTCATTTTATCCTTAATGCTCCACAATAAGGCAAGATTTTAAACCTATAGGTGAGACCAGAGAATTGAAGTGACTTATCACATCACCCAGCTCATTGAGACCAGGCTTTGAGTTTTACTGTCACTTACTTCTAGTCTTGAAGGTCCCTCAGCAGAAAGTGCCAGGCAGGGGACATACTCAGGCAATTTCCAATTATCTGCATTAAGGGAGTGAAGCAACGAAACTCATGATCCAAAGGTCATTTCCACCTGACATTCAAATTTCATTTTGAAACAACATTTACACCTTCCAAAATGTGTGCAACATGAGATAACATAAGGTGACCTTTATTTGCGCACAAAATAACCAGGGCTGAGCATGCTGGGTGGTGTGGACAAAGTCAGTGGCAGATTAAATATTAAATAGCTTTGGATTCACAAAACAAGTAAATAGATGTGTCTGTGCAATTGACCCAGGAAAAACTACCCTCCCTTCCCACAGTGCTTACCAAAGCTTTAGTCAATCCCTTCCACCAACCTGTCCCACTACATCCCATTGGCTTATCTGGAGGTGCGTACCTGTTAGTGTCTGGAAGCAGTGCAGTTTGAATGTGTCTGTCTCCAGTATCTCAATGCCTGAGCTGCCCTGTTCAGGAGACAACTGGGAGCCAATTGCGAATAGCCTATTTGCAAAGGAGACAAAGCTGGGAATGTACCCACTGCTGTAAGGGAGGAGTGCTTCCCCAAATTTTCTACAGAAGTGATCCTATGTGATGAGTTCACATTACAGCAGAGGGAGTCAGGAGAGGCAGTGTGAACTGCCGAACAGCAGTATGAAAATTTCTTTAAAGTTCACTTGCATTACGACAGGTCCTCAAATAACATCGTTTTATTATAACATTAATGAGATGTTGAAGGAACTTCTGTTCATATCAATTACCTGTGGCAAAACTGGTTTCGTTATACAGTTGACACTAAACATAGGTTTGAACTGTGCGGGTACACTTACACAGTTTTTTCCAATAGTCAGCCCTCCTATATTTGGCTTCAAACACAAGGATTCAACCAACTCTGGATTAAAAACAGTATTTTCAACCACAGTCGGGAATTCCTGGAGGTAGAGGCTGTCTGAGTGCATTGTTCTATGCCGTTTTATTTATTGATTTGAGAGAGGGAGAGACATCGATTTGTTGTCCCACTTAATTTATGCATTTATTGGTTGAATCTTGTATGTGCCCTGCCCGGGGATCAAACTCACAACCTGGGCAGTGCTCTAACCAACTAAGCTACCTGACCAGGGCCTATTCTATGCCATTTTATATAAGGGACTAGAACATCCACAGATTTTGGTATCTACAGGCATCCTGAAACCAATCCCCCCCAGACACCAAAGGGATGACAGTAGTTGTTTTGGGGGAGTCAAAAGTTCTATATGGCCTAGACGGCGTGGCTCAGTGGTTGAGCATCGACCTATGACCCAGGAGATATTGGTTCGATTCTCAGTCAGGGCACGTGCCCAGATTCAATCCCCGGTGGGGGGTGTGCAGCAGATCAATGACTCTCTCATTGTTGATGTTTCTCTCTCTCCCCCCTCCTCTCTCTGAAATCAATAAAGATATATTTAAAAAAAAGTTACATGTGGGAGGGTTACATCTCTAACCCCTCCTTGTTCAAGGGTCAACTGTACCTCCTTTTGCTTAATGTTTCTGAACCCACTGCGGAGACTGAGGACTTATTTTACATCCATACTTTGCTATACAACATTTTACATTAAAAACTTGGGATAAAATTAACACTGGGAATATGTGCCATGGTTACGTACCCCGAGGCTAGCATACTCAGCACAGCTCATACTGTAGTTGAGAACAGAAAAAGATCTTAAAGGCCTTTTAGTTCAACTGCCTCACTATAAAGATGGAGAAACTATTCTCCCAGAACAGAAGTTAACCTAAGCAACATCACACCACTGCCAGTATTAGTATTACCTAAAACCTAACAGTACTGAATCGGTTTTTCTTTTCATAACACAAGAATTGATGACTTAAAATGAAGTAGAGAAAGGTAAGCACTGCCACTCAAGAGAATGCCTGCCCATACAGAACACCACTAACCCACCCAGCCGGAGCCAGGAGCAGGCCAACAGGCACTAGGCAGGGTTGGAGGACTTACGAGTGGAACATGGAGGCCAACATGAGCTTCTCATTGGAAGTGAGGCGGGGCCGGCCGAATCGGATGGACACCGGGTAGTTAGCAGGGTTGCCCAGGTACTCCAGCACCTCTTTGCCATCCGCCGTGTACTTGCCGTTCACGTCCATGCCATTGATGGCCAGCACGGCGTGGCCCACTGCAGAGGCGAGGCAACGGTCAACGAAGCCGGTCCGGC